TCCGGGTCCACACTGCCACACCTGCCTATTTGGATGTAGGTCTCTAACTTTCCCCGAATACTGTGTGGTCTGTGTGTCTTCTGGTGCCACAAATGAAAACTTTGACATGGGCCTTCTTGTTAAAAACTTGATGACTAAAATTTTTAAACATTTCTCTTCCAAAAATATTTTAAATTTTAGGATTTCTGGTGGAAAATGATTTTGGTCTTTGGTTTTAAGAAATGTTTCTTGGGGCCTAGAAAGTTGGCTCGGTCGTTAAGAGCACTGGCTGCTTTCCCAGAGGACTGTGGCTGTGGCTTAATTCCCAGCAGCTCCATGATCGCGTAGAACTGCGCGTCACTCCAGTTACTGGGGACTCCTGCTCCTGCCCTCTGTGGGCACCACACGGACATGGTGCACCCATATGTACACAGCCCAAAACCTTGCACATAGGAAAAGATTTAAAAATCTCTAGAGAGGTTTCTTTTTCTTCTAGAAGAGAAATGTTTCTCTTTGTGTGGTGAAGCTTGTGAACCTCACGCTCACACTGTAACCATGAACTACTTTCTTACTTTATTTATTTAATTCCATCTCTGTCTGTTTTCCTCTTGTAACTTGTAATTTGGGACCAACTTTTATGAGTTTTAACATAACTTAGGATTGCTCTTTATTTACTTAGAAATTTATTTTTATTGGGATTGAACCCAGGGCTTCACACATATCAGGCGAAGTTCTCCAATACTGTCTCCACACACAGCACACCAAGTGCTCTCTCACTGAACTGTAAGACACCCCTTTCTTACTTGTCTTTCTGAGACAAGGTCTCACTAAGTTGCCCGAGCTCACTTTGAACTCACTGCCATTCCGGCAGGCCTTGACCTTGCCGTCCCAGCCTTCCAGTATCTGAGATGCGGGCCTGTGTCACCAGGCTCAGCACACGATTGCATTTCTCTTTTATGTAGCACAAATTCTAATTGGTCTAAATAATAAAAGCTCGGAGTCAGCTATCGGTGGAAGCTGAAGGGCCAGAAAAACAGAGCGGGCAGCCACTGGAGTTCTTACCGCTACCAATGCTCAGACCAGAGGGGTGACCCTGTCCCTATGAATCCTCAGCCTGCCTTGAGCGCCTGTCTCCACCTCCCTAATGTTGGGGTTAAAGGCATGTGCTGTGCTCTTTTTAAATTGTTGCTGCCTTCCCAGCTACCGCTATCCTAGTCAGCAGCCGCAGTTCCATCACTGCCAGCAGTCCAGGCCGCAAGGGCACAGACTCTTTCAAGCTATGAAGGGAACTTCTCTAACTCTGTCCCTCAAATGAACTCAAGATTCAAAGGATGAAGTAGAATCCTGCTCCCGAGAGAGGCTCAGTAGCAAGCAGCTCACCTCCTCCAGCCTCCCAAGAAGTAAGAAGTACTCCTCCTCTTCCTTGCCTCTCCTTACAAACCCTTCTCCACCAGCTCCTCCCTACAGCTTCCTGTCAGCTGCTTGCTGACTCAGCCTCCTGACCGCGGGTGAATTTTATTTCATCAAACACATCTTTGCTTCATTAAACAAATGTTCCATAACCTAAACAAAAGTAACACACCTTAAAATAATATTCTACAACAGGCATGTGATCCCACGTGCTGGGATTAACTGTGTGTGCTACCTCTGCCTGGCCTCTGTGGCTAACTAGTGGCCAACCTCTGCAGTCTGATCTTCAGGTCAGCTTTATTTGCTGCAGCATAAACAAAATATCATCACACTTTTAAGTGACTTTTATCCTTTTTTATTCAGAAGCATAGTAAGAAATACATCTTACATAACACCGCAGGTCATACAAATGCAGTAAAAATGAAGAATCCCATGAAATACTATATGCCAGTGTGTGCGTTATACTCCAGTCTCTCGTCTGGCATCTTTTCTCTTTGCTGTCTTATTTAAAACATAGATGCTAGTTGCTCCACACTCCATCCATGGTTCTCAGCCATGGGCTGCTGTTTCCCCACTCCTCCTCAGGAGACAGCAACATCTGGACACATGTGGTAAGGTTGCAGGTGTTCGTTAGTGGGAAAAAGAAGGTGTTGCTGAATGATGTTAAATGACTTATCATGCTTGACTAATCCTACCTCATACACACGCACACGCACGCACACACACATGCACATACACACACACACACCCCTGATCTATGCCGAGACTGGAAGCCCTACACTGTATTATATTTGTCTGTTTTAAGTTGTAAGGAAAGGAGGTTTCTATGGCTCTGAGTTACAGGGATTCAAGAGCTTGGTTTGGGACTCAGCTTTCCTTTTTTTTTTTTTTTAAACTTCTTCACTGGGGAAGACTGTTTCTCTATCTTTCAGTGTTTGTTGGTTGCCTTTACTTCTTTGTGTAGGGTTGAAGACTCCTGGGCTCAGCATATCTATTGTTGACTTTGTTTCGGCAGTCCTGTTGGTGAGAGCTTGTGACATTACTAGGAGACACAGTCCTATAGCAAACGTCGGATCCTCCCGGTCTTAGAGCCTTTCTGACCTTCCTCCTTAGTGTCCCCAGAGTGAGCCTCAGGAATGGGATGTTTGCAGATGTATCCACAGGGACTGAATCCCCAGCTCTTCGTTCGGACGGCTGGACTTTTCTGTAGTGGTCTTTTTCTGTTGCACAGTGGCTTAGACCTCATGCTGGTTTAGTAGAGTGGCATTTGTAGATTCTCCTCCAAGATCCAGAACACCAAATAGATTGAAGCAGAAAAGACATTCCCCTTACCATATAATAATTGATCATAAAACTAGAAAAAATTCCTAAAGTTCCTGTGAATGTACACGAGACCCTAAATGACCAGGTCAGTCTTGAGCCAAACAAACCAGTTTCGGAGCTGTCACTACACCTGCTTCACGTTGTCCTTTAGAGCTTTAGGGACAGAAACTGCAGCACTAGCACCAGAGCTGATAGGTGACCCAGTGGGTTGGGGCCCTCAGACCAGCCCACGACGTCGTCTAGAAACTGCTGGAGTCCTCCAGCCCATTCGGCCTCCTGCTTGCTTGGATGGCAGGCATATTTCATCATGCCCGATTAATTTCTGTTTTCAGTGTTTGCTTTCGAAGGTGAGGTAAGTTAAACTGAATAATTCTGTGGTGTTTTATGTAAATACTTTAGTGGCATGATAAAGGTCATTGCGCATTCTGTCTAGTCTTCTATCGTGTTTATATTGGACTTTAAAATGCAGAGTAACTAGCATCTCCAGATGGTTTGACTGTCAGCAGATTCTCAGATTGTATTCTACTGAGGCTGTTTCTCTGCGGCAGGCAGTGGGTCTGAGTGGGAAGAGTCTGTGCTAGTTCACAGGCATGACCTTGTTTGGACCTCCATGCCTGGTGGAGGCTTGGTCTTAATGCTAGAAGGGGTTGATTACTGACTGTGTGCCTTTAGAGATGGGCAGTCCTTCCTCATCTAAAGCGCTTGCTTCTTGTCTGCCGACAGGTACTACTGTAACTGCTCTGAAGTTGTTTAAGAATCTGCCTGTAAGGAAGCAGTTCTACTCGACTGCTAAAAAGTGTAAAGACGAGCTCAAACATGTGCAGGACCTCCTCATAAGCTACGCCGTCCTCATCCCTGACCTCAGGATTATTTTTATACATAATAAGGTGAGCATTATTATCTTGTGTAAGCAATTTTTATAGCAGTCTAATGAAGAGATGGTACATTCTGTATAAATCAGTTAGATGCATGCCATGGAGTAGACATTCACCGTATCCCACAATCCTACTTCATTTGCGGAGAATCTAATCACCAATGTGAAGACAGTGGCGGTGATTCGGTCATAGGGAAAAGCCGTGATAGCCTGACCTTTGCCAAGAAGCCAAGAGAGCCATATCCATCTTCCGTCACCCAAGGACTGGGAGAACAGTTGAAGGAGCCAGGACTTGGCCTTCATTGGAAGTGGATCTCAGTTTTCCCAACTCTCTTAGCTATGAGAGATAATTTTCTTTTATTTTCTTGTGCAGCTTGTGTGTTTTTGTTTTCTAACCCTGTCCTGTCGGTTTTGTCTTCATTGTGAAGAGAGCACAGAAGACCTATGGGAAGTCCGCTAGACTTCCAAACCGCACTCTTCACGGCTCTTGCCGTCAGTGACCCGGGAGCAGCTCTGGGGTGCTTCCCTCAGGCAGCTCTTCTCCCCCTGTGAGACCTCACCATGGGACAGCATCTCTCATCTTCCAGAGTTGCTTAAAGTTTCCTAAAGGCCACTCTTGCTCATTTCCTTCTGCTTTTCAGAGCGAGGCTGATGAAGTAAAGGGATTTGTTTTGTATGTCAAATCGCAGAGGAAAGCCTTATATCCTTTCTGGACCTTAGTTTCTCCTGAATTCCACGTAAGCACATTAAAGCAGTCAAGGGAAGGAGAGCAGCTCGCTCAGCAGTAGGTGGGGAGCGGGGACTTAGCATTTCCTGAGGATCCGTGTAGACCAGGCGCTGCAGTCTGTGCTGTCCTCGCCGTACCTGCAGGTGCATTGGCAGTGTGCCAAGACGAGCTGCCTGGGAGCTGAACTCCGAGAACTCCAATGTGTTCTGAGAGTCGCACAGCTGGTAAAGGGTAGAGATGGGATTGGGAACCTGGCCTAGCTTGGAGGACAGGTTCTTCACGCTCTCCTGTGTTCTTCCAGTTTTACGTGTGTACAGTTCCTCTTTATGCTTTAGAGCCCTTACAGTAACTGCGGTAAGCAGTATTACCTGGGTTTACATGAGAAACTCAGAGCTCAGAGTGAGAAAGGAATCCTTTCTTGTATTTTAGTGAGTAATTGTATTCAAACACAACTTTTAAAATTATTTTTTTATTGTAAGATTTTAATATTATAGTTTGATTTTATATTCCCCCTTCATTTTCCTTCCTTCAAATCCTCCCTTACACCTCTTTCTGGTCCATGGCCTCATTTTTTTAATGGTTGCATACATATCTGTATATGCATATATATTCCTAAATACATTTGCTCCAGTCTTACCTCAGCTCTTACTAACTGGTCAGAAGAATCTTTGTCTTTATGCCATGTGAAATGTTTATGATCAAAACCTTTAGTCATCTTAAAAAAGAAGGAATTAAGGAGTCGGCCACCTGTTCCTGCTGGCAGGGCGCTCTACCAGATGATACCTTGAGACCCTTCCAGCACCGCCGTGCTGAGGCTGGACGGAGGCTCCCCTGCTAAAATAACCCTGCGACCTCTGATCCAGAGGACGTTTAGTAATTAGAAGTTAAGTGTCTCCAAATTAAGAGAAGACCAAGGTCAAGAGAAACATAGTCCGGAAGGAAAGACTGATTAAAAAAACCAAGATATGAAGAGGAAAAAGAATTCCACATTCATAAACAACCATGTGTACAGCTAAAGATCATAGTTTAAAGAGGAAATGAGGAGAGATCAAAGCAGGCGGTGAAGTGAGCGCCGGGAGGGTTTGAGCAGGCGACAAGCTCCCACTCACTCAGGTTGGGTGTGTGTTCCAAGTTCCCAGGTGTGATGAACTAATGTTGAGTTGTCAGAATAGGCATTTTCTTCTGAGAATGGAAAGCCATGTTTTTATTATATGCTATACTTTATTGCTGGGGGCGGGTCACAAAAATTACTTGAAGTAAATTCAAGTTCCTCTGTGGCCTTCAGTCATTTCAGGGGCTGTTCAGGTCCTAGCAGGTGTGTTGAGACTGTTAGCCATGAACACCGTAGGTAGTTACTCAGATCTACTAGTAAAACTGCTGGCTGTCGTAACTACGATCATCTACTGAGTGAGATAAGCTTTCTACCTCCAAACCTGTTTCCACCGCTGAACACAGCTCTTCTCCTTTTTAAAAATAGCACTAGCATGCTTCAAATCATGTTAGAGTCCGCGGTTAAGCCTTCCACATGGCAGCGCCGTGTTCCCTGAGTCTCTGCTCGCGGCTGCTCTCGTAAACATGCTGACTCCCATCACGGTTTCTGTGGAGACTCTTGTCCTTGTCTAAAATTTAAACATAATGATGTTGTGTGTTTACCTTTTCTGCATTAGAAACACATAATATGAGAAGTACTCTGGCTATTTTGATAACTTGGATTAGCTGGTGTTCCTTCTTTTTATGAAGGTTTCACCTGCCAAGACATTCTCTGAATACTGATGATGTCGCTGCTCCTGCCAGTATGGTTATGTTAGAAAGAAGTATTTTTCTTCTTTCATCACCACGTTCCTTGAAAGCAAATTGAATAATGAGACAGCCAAAGTGGATTCAGCGAGTTTATTTAAAGTAGCTATTATTTGGAGAATTGCTAGGGCCATTTCTCACATAAGCACTGCAGTTTTAAGGTTTAGGCGTAAGAACTAAATCCTTGTGAAGTCCTACTCTATGTGTTTTTGCTTCTAAGTAGTTGTTTCTCGGAATTAAAAGGGCTTTTTTAGTCTGATAGTAGTGAAATTCCTGATTATTGCCTATGGATAAAAAGCACTGTGTAGATCACTATTTTAGAATATGTTGTATTCGTGATTTCTAATGAGGGCCACTTCCACTTCATAATTGTTTGTTTGTAAATGCTTTAGTTTTTCCCTGTCGTTGCTGTTTATATCCCAACCACAGCCTATTCTCCTCCCTAAGCCCTCTCACCTTCCCTCTCCCCCAGATCTGTTTCCCTTCAGAAAAGAGCAGACCTCCTAGTGACATCAGTTATTATATGGTGAGGGAGCTTTCTTTTCTGGTCCAACCTATTTGGTGTTCTGTAAGCTTCTTTTATCTTTTATAGACGTCTCCTTCTTTAGGTTAAGAAAATTTTCTTCTATGATTTTGTTTAAATTATTTTCCAAGCATTTGAGCTGAGATTCTTCTCCTTCTATTCCTGTTATTCTTAGGTTTGGTTTTTGCATAGTGTCCCAGATTTCCTGGGTATTTTCTGTCAGGAATTTTTTAGATTTAGCATTTTCTTTGGCTAATGTATCTATTGTTCTATCATTATCTTTAATGCCTGAGATTCTCTCTTCCATCTCTTGGTTATTGGTGATGGTTGCATCTACAATTCCTGTTTGCTTGTCTGTATTTTCCATTTCCAGAACTGCCTCAGTTTGTGTTTTCTGTATTGCTTCTATTTCCATTTAAAGATCTTGAACAATTTTATTTGTTTCCTTCAACTGTTTCTTTGGGGTTTTGTGAATAAACTACAGTTTTGAGCAAGTCCCCACCGTATGTAGTCATGCCCACGCAGGCATCCTTCCCTTCTGTGTCTGTGCCTGTGTTCTCCGTGCTACTAGGAACGGCCAAGATAGTTGTCTCTGCTGTATTCAAATGCTCTCTTCCGTTGGCTTCTTCCTTCCCCCCTCCCCATGCCCTTCATTTCTGTAGTAAATCCCATTGTCTCCTGAACTTACCCCAGCCAGACTATCAATAACCTTTTATCAAAGTCACCATTGGCCTCCACATTGCTAAGCGGAGTGGTGCCTAGTCAGTCTTTCTTAGTATTTGACATGATTGATCTACCCATTGTCACAATATATTTTTACAATATTTTAATTAATTTTTTGAGAATTTCTTGCAGTGTGTTTTAAATCCATTGTCCCTAAAACTCCTCTTACTACTTTATTCACCCTCTCATCCTTTCCCATCCAACTTAGAGATTTCTTTTTTTCTATTTTCTTCATTCTCCAATACGTCTAGTTTGTGATGCCCGGTTAGTCTTGGAGTGAGTTTACTCAGGTGAATGGTAAGCCCACCAGGGTGACATTGATAAAGAGTGCTGGTTTGTTCTTCTCCCAGCAGCCTCAGGTGCTAACAGCTCTCTGTCCACATTCCCTGTCTCTACTGGGATTCTGTGTGGGTAGAGCTTGTTCCCCCATCTCTACTGGGATTCAGGTTATGTCTGATCAAATGACAAACATCCACCGAACGACCAAAAACCACCCACCCCACATCTTGTGAATGTGGGCATGTGTTTTTAAAAATTACTTCCTGCTATCTAGGGGCAGCAGCATTTTTAGGGGACCCTGAGAGAATCGCAATAATGGTCAAGTCCTGGGAAAGCTAGCTGTATTATTTTTTATTTAGTCTTTATGTGTTGGGAAAGTGCAAGGCTTATCTGAAGTCTGTCTGAAGTAGTCTGTGATTCTGGACCCTCTTAACTATGCCTTGAAATTGTCCTGAGGAGTTTAGAGTCAAAAGCTGATCTTTGTGTGGGGGTTGCCAGCTTAATGGCGCTACCAGAATCCAGGTGGAATGGTCGTGGTGGGACCCCATCATCCTTTTAGATACTTCAGAGGTCACTGTTAGGAATGGTCGTGGTTCACTGCAGAAAGCTTAATCATCTTAAATGTCATATGCAGCAGATCTCAGAGAGGTTAAAGGACCACAATCTTAAAATACATCCAGGGTACAGTTACCTGCTTCAGACTGAGGCCCAAAATCAAGTAAAGGAAGCTAGATGAATCCTGTTTGTAGAATCAGGTACTGCTCTATTTGACTGTTAATATTCCAACAGGAACTTTAATATATATTTGTGTGTGTGTATGTGTGTGTGTGTGTGTGTGTGTGTGTGTGTGTACATTCATACATATGTAAAACTTATAAATTTTGAGATAATATTTATACCTTAAAAAAGTTTTAAAGAGTCAAAATAAAATCAAAGGATTATGAGCTGACAATAGAATAGTTCC